GCACTGAGGGGTTTTCATTTGAGTTTGGCTTTTTGTTTTTGGATTGTGGGCACATTTATAAGCCAATTAGAACAATCAAGGTAAGAAAGAAGGGATGAAAGACAGTGTAAGTTTCAAGAAATCAAAAGCACGGATGGATAACATCACCTAAGTCATGAAGAAGGGCAGTTTCTCTACAAAATAGAAAGGTATCATTATCACAGATACCCACAGATTTGCAATAGTGGCAGTGAGGATCTGATGTGATGGCTCATGTCATCCCTGTCAAAGCAGTAGTGACGTCATGCCCAAGGTAGGGGCATAGGTAGAGTCAGAATACTGAGCAGAATGGTAACATGGGAAAAGTCATGGAACTGGAGAATAAAGTGGTCAGAGAAATAGGATTGCCAAGCTGTATGGAGGGCACATCTGAGGATGTGGTAACAAACTCAGAGTATGAACAAATTGCTCCTGCAAGGTCCTGCTGCTAGATCCAGGCAAACTATGGATCCAGGAAACTCTCTATTTGATTTTATCCAGGGTTAAGGTTTTGCTAGAGGAGATGACAAAATAGCAGAAGGGCAAGAAAGCTTAGGACACTGTAAAAAATACTATTTAAATGATGGACTGTGGAATCTAAACTGGATAAGGAAGGAATAATAGTAATAATAAAAGCAACAATAAAGAAAAAAGACAGATTGATCATAAATGGAGAAATCTGCCTTTTCTCCAGGAGCTGTTGTGACAATAAAATGAGATAATGTTATATAAATATGGTTTGAAAATAGCAAAATATTGTTCCTTTTTGAAATCTTTATATTATTAAAGAAGAGGAGACAAATAAATACAAAAAGACTAGGCAGATAAATCAAAATCAGGGAAGAGGCAGATGAGAAGAATAGAATTTTTGCATCTGGGAAAGCAGGTGTATTATGTCAGGTGAGAGTCACATAATTTCAACGTCCTTGGCCTGCCTGGGTCCCAGCTATTCAGAAACTTGGGTGATTAAAAATGCTGTGTCCTTCACCATGAAGCTCAACAGCTCAGCAAAAGTGAAGACATAGATTTCCTGGTCTGAGGGTTTGGAAAATAAAAGGCGCCCCCAAAATGTGGGGAGGATGGTATATTGCATATCTATACATGTAAAATAAGCAAATATAAAAGTAACTTACTTTAGGGAACAGAAGCATTTCCAGCAAAGTTCATTTTTTAAATTTCTATCAAATATATTCTATTTTTCAATTTGCTTTAATAATAGTAATAATAACAGCATATATTTAGCCCATTCTTTGTACCACTCACATTCCAAGCACTGTTTCAATGCTCAAAACAACCACCTGTGAGGCAGATACTACTATTAGGATCCTATTCAGATGAAAAAACTTTGGCAGACAGGTTAAAAATCTTGTCCTAAGATACGTAGCTAGCAAATGGTGAAGCATGGATTTGAATCCAGGCAGCATGACTCCCAGGTCCGCACAGTTGCCCTAACCATTATTCTCACTATTCTTATAGTCTTGGATAGAATCAGACATTTGTAATGCCAAAACAAACAGAAATGTTTCTCTACAGTAAGCCTGTAATAAATTTGGAAGAAATTGCCTTATTCGCTGATAGGAGAGAGGAGATTTAGTGGTATAAAAATACAGTTGACACTTAAACAACATGAGTTTGAACTGCGTGGCTCCACTTATGTACATGTTTTTTCAATGTGGGAAAAGTCATGGAAATGGAGAATAAACTGATCAGAGAAACATAGGATTACCAAGCTATACCGAGGGTATGTTTGAGGGGGTTTTAGCAAATTTATGCTATGAACAAATTTCTCCAGCTGGGCCTGTGATCTGAGACCCTAGAAGGTGACTGGAATAGAAATACTATATTACAACATAGAGGTCACGTGCCTGCTGTGGTATTATTTAAAGCCCTTATGGTATTTTCATTCTGGAAAATCTTTTTTAAATGTTCATTTTTTTCATTCATTTGCTTAAAAAGAAGTATTACACTACAACTTGGTGATGAAAACTTTGCTATTCCATAAAATTTAGGCTTTACATATTTTTTTCATGTAGGGTAATATAAAATGAAATGGAGTAAGATTTATCTACATGTCAGTGAACACATGCTTTTTTCATGCACAATTAATGCTGGATTTGCATACAAAGACTTTGCCTATGAAATATAACTTAAGCTACACACACACATACACATTACACACACATCTCAAGTACTTTCTATATTTAGTCTCTTCCTTCCTCAGAAGAGCACAGATCATTATTAGATCTCTAGGGCTCTAGGATGTCTTCTAATTCTAGATTCTAAGGCTTTAGAGAAGGTCGATTATTCATCATGAAACACATGGACTCAAGAATGATCTTTCAAGAATCTATAAATGTTTATCTTAGATAAACATGTATCATTGATTCATGCCTGGCCCAAACAACATTTCTGAAAGCTCTCTTTCCCAGAACATGTTTGCATTTGTCACAACCCTCTAATAATCCATCACAATTTTCCCACAGAGCACATGCTGGCTAAACCTACCCTGAGTTTGGACAACTGGGGGTGGGGTGCAGAGTCCCTAGGCATCTATTTGCAGTGGTGATTTGCATCAAGGAAAATATGCCACCGAAATTTTGAGTTCAGGTATCTGATGCTCGAGCTGAAAGATCAGAGTCCAGTTGCCCACCTCACCTAGGTGACCAGGTCTAATCCCCATGGAGAAAGGGCTGTGCTCCACATTTGTGCATGGACTATACCCAGGCTCCTCCTCTGTAAGGAAGACTGAAGAACATACTAGGCTGTTTGAATACCTCCAGGGCTCTGGTGCTTTGGGAGCCCTGGGAGACAGCACCTGTGGTAAGGCAGCCTTCTCTCAGAGAAGCTGCAGCAAGGTGGGAGAAGACTACAATGTATCTGGAAAGTGGCTGTCCCATGCACTCAGCAACAGCTCAGAGGCCTGTTGGAGAATAAATGTGAAAATTCTGGGGACTCCCAGAAATGCTCTGGAAATGGGGATTTGCAAATAACTGGGATCATTCTTCAACGCATGAGGGTGGAAACCAGGCCAACTGGGCCATAAGGCTAATACGTCCTGCTAATTCCCACAGGCTGGAGAGGCCTTGGATATCAGGGTTTTCCTAAAACTTGCTGATTTCTGCCTTTTTCTCTTCATTTTGCATTTAAAACAAACCAAGCAAATTTATAATTTGTAACTGTTCTCTCTTTTCGCCGAGCTCTCCACCTCTCCCTCAGTTCCCTGGTTTCACTCTTAAAAACAAATCACTGTTACTAAATTCTAGCACTACTAGCAGTGCTCAACGGGCTTCATTCAATCTCTTTCTCCACACACACATCCCAGGGGTCTCTATTTTGCTTAAGTCTCATGCACAATTTCACTTTATATTTCACAACTCCTCCTACTCTCCCAAGTATTTGGCAACGCTCAAGGATATGGTATGGACTTTTAGGCCAAATGTCATTTCATATATTCATACAATGCTACAATGTGTACTTCAAGACCCTAATTTTACAGATGAGAAATGAATTCAAAGAGTAGAGGAGGGGAGTACACACAGCCAGAACTGGAGCTGGAAACTATCCCTAGACCTTATGATTTCTTCAACAATATTCTTTATGCAGTTCCATGACAGTTACAACACAGAGCTCTTTCTGAAGGAGGCTTAGAGCGAGAAAAGTGGGTAGGAGGATGGGCTACAAATTCTGGAGCTAGACTTACACTGCTGGAGTTAGAATCTCAACTCGAACATTTATAAGCTGTGCGACTCTTTACTTTGCCAAACCTTAGCATACTCATCTGTTAAAATGAACATAACAATGGTATGTACATCACTGGCATGTGGTGAAGTTTAATTAAAATAAGCAATATAAGGCACTTAACATATTGCCTCAACATAGTAAATGCAAGGAAAAAAAGCAAGATAAGTTTAAGCCATTAATTAGCATTTTACTAAAGAATATTATATAAGTGATATAGTAAACATATGAAAACTGAAATCTACTATATACATGTATGTGTACCTGCATATATATATATCTATATACATATAGATTACACTTTACATAAATATACATATGTATGGATATTGCATTTCTACAATGAATTCAATTGTTTAGTTTCCTCAGTTTGCATAGATTTCCATTTTACTTGACTAGAACACCCTAGTATAAATAAATAAAATTCCTCAAAGAAATTTGGACAAGTTATTTTATCAGGGCTCACAGCCAACAGGGTCCTTGTAATAATCCCCAACAATGGTTTTAACATTATATAGGTATTGTGGTTCCAGCACATTTTCACTAATGTCTTTTGTATATTGGGAACCAATTCAAGAGAAATTAACAACATGATACACGTGGAGAAATAAAAGTCATATTGGATGTCAAACCATGACTGATTGATTGCCTCTTCATTGCTGAAGAATACAGTTTTTAACAACCAAAAGTTAAAAAATTAAAGTGAATTCTGAATTTCCAAATCCAGTTTATAGGTACTAAGAAGATCAATGTTGCTTTTACTGATCTGTGATAGTAGCAGAAAAAATAAGATGTGCCGAGGAACCATGCCTGTCTCATAGTTTGGCTCATTCTTCTATTTTTGCCTATGTTTACACTGAATGTACATTTTGTTCCCAGTCCAAAAGACTGATCAAATCCATGATAATTTCCAGAGACTATTGGCCAAATCTTAAATGAAGAAATATATCACTTCTCTCACAAATAGCGGCAGCAAGTTACAATGGGGGTCCATCTCATCAGAACTGGCTCTTTCTACTATGGATTCTAAAAAATCCATAACCCTGGGCTTGAAGACACAGTTCCTCTTTCTACAGCAAAGAGAATGCTTAATATTATCAGAGCCCTGTCTGCTCATAGAGAAGAAACTCACAAAAAAAAAATGCCAGAAAATCAAGTGGTATATTACTTAAGAATAAAACTATTACCTTCAACGACATACTGACCAATACAAAACGTAAAGACTTTAAAAGAGCCTGTTTTTTTTTTTTTTTCTTTGATTTGAGGGGACTTTGGAGTCTCAATGTAAGGAAGCTAGCTGTGAGACTAAAAATAAAGTTTCTCAGCTTACAGTTGATTTTTCAGGCAATAAAAGATCTCGATGGCTTTCAGACACACTCATGATTTAGCTTTTGCAAATAAAGATGTTGGAAGCACAGAAAATTTCTTTATGAAAGAAAAATCTGTCTTGTTTTCTCCATGTTTTACGCACTGGCTATCATTGACTAAAAATTTACATTACAAGCTGGAATTTTAACTTTTCCACAATGTCAATTTAATTTTTCCATGAATAAATGAGAAATGGCATTGAGTAGCTGTTCTCCAGGTACTTTAAACGCCTCAGTAAGTCATGATAGCTGCCTAAGAGGATGGTCTGTACTCCTCATCTAAAGGACCTCTTCATAAACACTGTGTTAACTACTGTCTACACTTCAGATAGAAAACTGGCACCATGTATTACCCAAAAGGTAAACCCACCTCAGCAAGTGGATCAAACAGTCCTTCCGGTGCCTTGGTAAGTATTACTCTCGTCACTAATTTCCTTCTTCGGTTATTTATGTTTAAATAAAAAAAAAGTGAGCCATTGATTCCGCCATTTCACTCGAAAGTGCACCTTCAAAGTGCACTTGTGGTCAAAATTTTTCTTTGAAAACAGAAAAGGTGAACGGCGGACTTTTTCCCGGTGATCCTGGTCACTGTGCAGCAGGCGTGTGTATAAGAAATGCACCAATATGGGCAATCTCAGAACAGAGGTTTGCAGAAACCATTCCTAGAGGCACCAAAATGTAGTTGACCGGTTGTCTGACCACGTGGCTGCCAGGGGCCTAGTGAGTCTGCGCACACGCACTCCCTCCGCCCCTGCCGTTCCCTAGTGGGTGCGCAGGCGCAGGAGGAGCACACCGTTGCCATTGGAGACCTTCACTCCCTGAGGAGCCTGAGGGTCGGCTGGGTGCTGGGCTCCGGGCTATCCCTGTGATGGTAGCTCAGCCAGATCTGGGGACCTGACGCTGAGCGCGTTGCCAACCAGGATCTTCCTCTTCATGTAGGCCCGGACGCTGGCGTGAGAACCTGGTCTGGGTCCTGGACGAGCGCCCCCCGAAACTTCTCGGAACCTTGAATAAGTAAAATGCAAGGTAGTGATGTCGCTTTGCTGGAGTGATTTCGTGTCAAAAGCCATAAAGGGACACGGAGGCTGATTACGGTGCTCCTCTCCCCACAGCTTCCCTGTTCTCTTATCATCTCCCTCCCTCCTTCATCAGAGTCTGGATCTTAACGCACCCCACCCCCTACCCCGCGCCCCATTCTTGATTTGATCCAGTATTGAGTCTCTGGGTTCTAGCCTAGGACTGTCCTTGGTCATACAGAAATGAATTCCTTGACTTCTGGGAGCTCCCATTGACTTAGGAGCCAGTCCTGAAAATCGAAAGAACACACTGTGGTAGGAATTATGCTCGGAATGTTGGGGGAACAAGGAGTGGGGCATCTAACAGGCTTGTGAGACAGAGTAGGCTTCCCAAACAGGGTTACTGCGGGAGCCGTTCGTGTGGAAACAGAGAAGTGGTCAGGATGAGGTTAAGAAGCTGGGCGGGGAGCTGTTCATGAAGGGCTTTACGTGCCCTGCTAAAGAATTTGGACTTAATTCTGAAGGCGCCAAGGGGTTGCATCCCTGCTAAAGATGCTAAAGATAGAGAAGCGTTTTCTAGATAAGAGCTTTCTGCGACTATTTCAGAATTTCTATATAAAGCAAGTTCAGGGGATAAGAATGGGGTTGGGAGTAAGGGTTAGGGTACTCATTCCTCAGCTGCTTTTGGATTAGTGACAGGATCACCGAAAAATAAAAACAAATAAATGATTCCTTTTATTCATTTGTTTTTACAAATAATGGGATGCTTAACTGGGTTTAAAGTACTCAAACACAGACTGATTTTAAAAAAAAGAAAAGAATGCCAACCATCAGTTATTGCAGGAATATGTTGTAGTATTTCTTAGTTTCTTCCTTCCATCAATTAACCTGAGAATTTTGAACACCCCCACTTTCTTTTTCTGATTGGCATTTTTTAGGAATACCAAACCTAGGGTGGTCTGGGTAGAGGTCTGATGGAGATTACAGAGATGCCAGATATTCTGCTCCCCAAGTCACTTCATGGTGCTTCCACTGTTAACTACGAAAGTGAAAAGAATTTTCTATACAGTCATCCCTCCGTATCTGCTGGGCGGATACCAACATCAAAGGGTGCTCGAGTCCCTAATACAAAGGGGTGTAGGATCTGCATGTAACATGCAAATCGCCTATACTTTAAATCATCTCTAGATTACTTAAAATATCTAATACAGTGCAAATGCTATGTAAATAGTTGTTACACCACATTGACGGTTGCATTTGTATTTTTACTGGCATGTTTTTTGAATATTTTTGATCCACTATTGGTTGAATCAGATGAAACAGAGGGCCAATTGTATACATAAAAGGGCCTATTTTTATTTTCTTGTTTTCTGTAAAGTGACAAATAATAGCAATGTAGATATGCTGTTCCTTATTATTCTATATGGATTCTGTAATTTTATGGTTTTTTATTTAATCATAGCAGAGTGATTAATTTTGATTGTCTATGCTTCTAAATACTTTATTTCTCAAAGATTGTGTTTGAATGTATAAAGCTTACTTCAGTTAGTAACATTGTTTTCTCTCTGTTGCTATTACTAACTTGTATTCTTAACTAGTTTTTTCTGTCTCTACACTTTATAGCATTAAGAGACATTGAGAAAACAATTTTAGAAAACAAAGACCTATTAAAATAATTAAGTCATGAGATTTTACAAGTACAGAGAATGAGAAGTCACTTGGTCAAATTCCCTCCTTTCTGAAAAGATCAAGTCTCAAATTTTAAGATCATGTTAGTGAGGTGGCATGACTCAAGCTATTGACCTATGTAAGCATGACATACTAGCAGATGTAGAATTCCAGATCTAAAAATAAATACAATCCACAAGGGGATATAATTAATAGCCAGGTTTTATCTTAATATAAATGTGGAGATGATCTGAACAACAGAGAGAAAAGCAGGAATAACAGGGGGAAAAAAAGACCAGGAAATGCATTAACATTAACATTGTGGGAGCAACTTCAGTAAGTTGTCTGATAGAATAAAAGATTCTTTTCATATAGAAATAACTGAGTAGCAGGTATGTGTCAGAAAAAATAATCACAAGCCCACTTTTTGATGAATTTGATGATTACAAGAATTTGGTTTTGAAAATGCAAACATGGCACTATGGATTGCATTGAATTGATTACGAATTGCAAATAAATTGTTGAAAGTTTTACTGAAAATTCTCTAATACTATTCCCTAGATATCCTGTATACCTTATCATTTCTGTTACTGTTTACTCTGTAAACAGTAGGCACTATTTACTACTCAGAGATGATATCTGTAAAATGCCGATATGTTTTAGTCACAGAGAGAGACTTTTCAGTTATGAAGGCTGTTATTCAGAACAGGTGGATGAAAGTTGATGCCTCTGATATTAAGGCCTAGAAAGAAGAAGGCTATTGCTTCTGAATTTGGGGAGGTGGTGACTGAACAATAAGGAAAGGATCAAACTCATGTATTTTCTTCTAAGAAAATCATGTATATGTGCCTTGTACTGTTTTGTAGAAGTCTGCTAAAGATATCACCAAAGGTTAGAGAGAAAACCATCTAGAGGAAATGCTGGCAGTATGGCATGTGTTCATTCAAAAATCTCTACAGCAAATTCTCTTGTTTTAGGGGTAAGATTTCACTTTGACTAACTAAATTTAAGATCATGAACTCTTTCATTTTTTTAAAGGATATATTGGATCTGAAGAGGGACAGACTTGGTTAAATCAAAAGGGTAAAAGCTTATGTTTTTCAAATGTTGATTGTCTTCTACAAATTTTGACTGATCTCATGTTCTTTCATGTGCTGAGATGTAAGTATACAGACTAAACCAGCACACACAGGATAACAGAGAAATCCAAGTAAGGTTTAAAAGGAAAAAAGAGAGTACTGTACTTACATCTATGCAATAGGATGATTATAAATTTGTCTCCTCTATTAAGTTATAAACATGTGAAGTTATAGTTTAGCTTTCTTAATAAACACCAAGGAATTATGAGTATCATCCTTTTTCACATCCAAAGGGGAGAAAACTTTTCCACTCATGTGAACTTTTCTTCTGAATTTGAACGCTGCATAGATCAATTATCTAAGTCACCTATTCGACTGTGCAGCAGAGGTTCTTAACCTCTTTGGGGTCACAGACCATTTTGGCATGGAATGAAACCTCTAAATCTTCTTCCCAGAATTATGTACATGTCGCAATCCTTTGCATTTTTTTTTCCTGGGGGCGGGGGGTAGGCGGGTCTGACCTCCTGGAACTCATATTGGCTCTAGATTAAGAATCATTTTTAAATAAGAAAACCGATCTTGTCCTTCTCCACACACTGGCAGTTCTTAACAAGCTTTGGCTAATTAGATATTTCATAGTCTTATATAAAACAATAGTCAATCATTTAAAAAGAGAGTATTTTTCAAGCCCACTTACTTTTTTAACAGTTAGGAAAGCCACATGGAATCATGATTCTTGACACCAGTATGCTTATACAAGAGGTATTTGCTGGATGCCTTCTCTATTCTGGTCACCATATTAGAGGCTGGTGATAAAGCAATAAGAAAAACAAACTCCAGACCCTATGAGATTTTGCAGCCTAGTGGGGGATATTTCTCCAAGCAAATCCAAAGAATTTCTGGAAATATTACCATTCTTGCAAATTTGATGCAAGGAGAAACCTTAAATTCTAAATCTATAAAAATGCATGATCATTACCAAAAAAGAGACCTTTCCTTAAAAAAAAAACTTCTCCAAAATGTATTTTTTAAAGTTAGCCAATTGCATTTACATATTTCATAGACTGCCTGCTTTGCAAAGAGCTGGAACTCTTAAAACATTGAATAGCTTTCTGTTAAAGTTTATATGAAAATAAAATGTATGTGTCCTCTGTCATTTTTAAAGAGTAGTAAAATAATGTGATTAAATATATGAAATATCAGTTCACATATAAATCCAGAAATAAATTTGCTGGGCTTATAATTATCTTCTTACAAATTAGAGTTGAGTAATAATTCTCCCCTATTCAAACTCCTTCCCCTCTCCAATGGGAAAACGGAGTTCAAGCAAGTCCATTCTGGATATTTTCTGTATTGTTGTGTTGGATTATGCCTTACTCCAGCATACTTGTGAAAAAAAATCATACCAAGTACTCCTTGAAGGAAAAGATAAATCAAACCTTTATAAAAGTCAAAAAGTGATTCATCTTTAATAAATTACTAATGTACAAGAAAATGTTGGATTTATGGCTTCCTGCATTGTAGCAGATTAGTAACCACATTTTCTCTGAAGTAATCCTAATATTCTCCTCTCATACCATTACTTGATAGGTAGGGAGACTAGCCAGTGATAGAATCTAACTGTTAACTTACAGGAGAATTGACCAGAGCTACCATTATTGAACAGCCTGTTGTTTTTAGTATGACTGATTCCTATTTGGTATATCTCAGTCCTTCCTGATTGATCCTTTTTTCTGGGATAACCAATCCAGGAAATACATTATTAAGTGCATTGCTGTTTTACTTTTGTATTTGTAAAGGTGTTAAATGCTTCTTATAGTTAACACTTATTGGAATTGTGTTTTAAATTACATTATTTAGGTACTAACAGCATTCTCTTCTCACAGGCTATCCAGATTATGATTGGCATCTTTCATGTTTTCATGTGGTACTTCCTATTGGTTTTGTATAAGGGGCAAATTAAAGGAGCCTTTGGAATATATGAACCTATAACTTACAAAACAGGATGTACTTTGTGGGGAATTTTTGTGAGTAGAATACATATATATTGCTTTAATCATACAATAAATAATATTCATGCCAATAATATAAGGTAGGGAACGGTTTCTGAACAAGGTTTTCAGGAGAATTATGTAACTAAATCTCATGTTGATAATTTATTCAAAGTCAGATTCCTTTTTTCAACAAATATATATTGAGTACCTTTAATTTACAAGTGCTGTTTCAAGAGATATGGAAACAGGAGTACACAGTGACAGCCATAGGGCAGTTTGTCCCTAGATATGTGAAAGGCAAAGAATCTCAACTATAATATCCATTAGCATGATTAACTTGCATGTTTATTGTCTTCACTTCAGTCTCCTCACCCAATGAGTCAGTACTCATTTTCTAAATTTTTTCATTACTGACACTTTTCTGTGGTTTCTAGATAGCCATTAGGTAGGGGAAAACCTAGAGAGTATAGCATCCTGGAAGCCAAGTGAAGAAATTGTTAGAAGAAATGAGGAAGGATCAACTATATTATATTTTGTTGTTTTGTCAAATAAAATAAGGACTACGAATTGACCATTGGATTTAGCAATATGGAAGTCAGTATGATCTGTGCACTAGTAAATTTTACAAGTAGTTTCAGTGGAATTACGAAGCAAAAACCTGGTTGGAGTTGATTTAAGAAAAAAAATAGGAAGAGAGGAATTACAGACAGCAAACAGACAGCTTCTTTAAGGACTTTAATGTGGTATAAAGAAATGGGGCGATAGCTGGGGAAATTTGGCTCCAGAGAGGGTTTGCTTATTAGTTTCTGTGAGTTGAAAGAAACAGCATTATATCCTTTGTTGAGAGGACGGAACCAAAAGAAAGAAAATTGATGATGAGTAAATGGGGGTAGGTATTGGAATCAAGTATTTATGTAGGCAAGAGGTGATGGATTTTGATGCACAAATGGCTAGGAGCATAGAAAGTTTATCTAGGGCAGTGGTTCTCAACTAGAGGCGATTTTGCCCCTGAGAACATTTTATAATATCTGGAGATATTTTGGATTTTCACAGCTGGAGGTGTACATCAGGTGGGCAGGGGCAAAAGATGCTGCTAAATAGCCTGTGATTCACAGGACAGCTCCTCACAATAAAGAATTATCCAGCCTAATTAGAAATGGTTTCAAAGTACAAAAACAGGAGGGAAAGGCAGAGAAAGCGAGCGAAAGGAGAATTTTCTTTGATAGGATGTTGGAAGCCTGTGGAAGTTTTTTTTTTTTTTTTCCCCAGTAACTTCAAATAGCTCAATGAATTAAGCAAGATTATGAGCTGAGACTGAGGATGGGGAAGTGGTTTGGTTGTTTCAGGGAAGGCGAGAGAATATGAAATGATCATCGAGGAAAAGTGAGAGTGCACAGATTATGGAGAGGTGGTTTTCTTTTCATATAGCATTAAGGACACACTTGAGGTTTAGGAACAGGATATGAATATGGGTTGTATGCCTTTCTCAGGCCATGGTCAGCTGCATGAGTTCGAGCATGCAATAGGATAAAAACAATCAGGATTTTTGTTTAGTTGTGCAACTATAATAAAACAAGAAAGGTGTGAAACAGTTGCAAGTGGATATAGGGCAGTGTTTGTAATGGTTGGCCATGAAATTTAAGTTAGTGATGGAAAGAAGAATTTAACAGAGAGTTGAAGTTCTCAGATTATGGACCCAGGGGGGGTCAAAGGGTTGTTAAAATTTTAGTACTAGAGGGCATGAGCTAGAAAGATAGCAGGTGGTGATCAGGTGGAATATTTGAAATTAAGATTTGAAAGGTACAGCAAAGACAAAAGAATGATTATGGGAGTGAGTGACTAAGATAGTTTGGAGTCAGGGATTGGAGGAGAGAACAAGAATCACAAGCCCAAGGTACTAGAAAGATGATATGGTTTGGCTGTGCATCCCCACCCAAATCTCATCTTATAGCTCCCAAAATTCCCAAGTGTTGTGGGAGGGACCTGGTGGAAGACAACTGAATCATGGTGGGGGACAGGGGGGCAAGTCATTCCTGTGCTGTTCTCATGATAGTGAATAAGTCTCACAAGATCTAATGGTTTTAAAAAATGGGAGTTTTTCTGCCCCTGGCCCCTCCTAAATTTCATGTCTTCACATTTCAAAACCAATCATGCCTTCCCAACTGTCCCCCAGAGCCTTAACTCATTTCAGCATTAACTCAAAAGTCCACAGTCCAAAGCCTCATCTGAGACAAGGCAAGGTCCCCTCCACCTATGAGCCTGTAAAATCAATAGCAAGTTAGTTACTTCCTAGATACAATGGGGGTACAGGCTTGAGTAAATACAGCTGTTCCAAATGGGAGAAATTGGTTGAAACAAAGGCTATAGGCCCCATCCAAGTCTAAAATCCAGTGGGGCAGTCAAAATCTTAAAGTTCAAAAATGATCTCCTTTGACTCCATGTCTCACATACAGGTTATGCTGATGCAAGAGGTGGGCTCCCATGGCCTTGGGCTGCTCTGCCCCTGTGGCTTTGCAGGGTGTAGCCCTGCTTCTGGCTGTCTTCACAGGCTGACATTGTCTGCAGCTTTTCCAGGCACACAGTGCAAGCTGTCAGAGGATCTACCATTCTGGGGTCTGGAGGATGGTGACCTTCTTCTCACAGCTCCACTAGGCAGTGCCTCAGTAGGGACTCTGTGTGGCAGCTCCAACCCTGCATTTCCCTTCTGCACTGCCCTGGCAGAGGTTCTCCATGAGGGCCCTGCCCCTGCAGCAAACTTCTGCCTGGGCATCTAGGCAGTTCCATATATCATCTGAAATCTAGGCAGAGGTTCCAAAACCTCAATTCTTGACTTCTGTGTACCACAGGCTCAACACCACATGGAAACTGCCCAGGCTTGGGGCTTGCACCCTCTGAAGCCATGGCCCAAGCTCTACATTGGCACCTTTCAGCCACAGATGAAGCAGCTGGGATGCAGGGCACCAAGTCCCTAGGCTGCACATAGCACGGGGGCCCTTGGCTTGGCCCATAAAACCACTTTTTCTTCCTAGGCTTCAGGGCATGTGATGGGAGGGGCTTCCATGAAGACCTCGGACGTGCCCTGGTGACATTTTCCCCATTGTCTTGAGAATTAACACTCAGTTCCTCATTACTTATGCAAATTTCTGCAGCTAGCTTAAATTTCTCCTCAGAAATTGGGTTTTTCTTTTCTATCACATTGTCAGGCTGCAAATTTTTTGAACTTTTATGCTCTGCTTCCCTTATAAAACTGAATGCCTTTAACAGCACCCAAGTCACATCTTGAATGCTTTGCTGCTTAGAAATTTCTTCTACCAGATACCCTAAATCATCTCTCAAGGTTCAAAGTTCCACAAATCTCTAGGGAAAAATGCCACCAGTCTCTTTGCTAAAACATAACAAGAGTCACCTTTGCTCTAATTCCCAACAAGTTCCTCATCTTCCATCTGAGCCTCAGCCTTGATTTCATTTTTCATATCATTATCAGCATTTTGGTTAAAGCCATTTGGTAAGTCTCTAGGGAGTTATGAACTTTCCCACATTTTCCTGTCTTCTTCTAAGTCCTCCAAACTGTTCCAACATCTGCCTGTTACCCAGTTCCAAAGTCACTTCCACATTTTCGGGTATCTTTTCAGCAGCACCCCACTCCTGGTACCAATTTACTGTATTCGTCCATTTTCACGCTGCTGATAAAGACATACCTGAGACTGGGCAATTTACAAAAGATAAAGGTTTGTTGAACTTACAGTTTCTCATGGCTGGTAAGGCCCCACAATTGTGGCAGAAGGCAAGGAGGAGCAAGTCACATCTTATGTGGATGGCAGCAGGCAAAGAGAGAGGGCTTGTGCAGGGAAACTGCCATTTTTTAAACTATCAGATCTCATAAGACTTATTCACTATGGCAAGAACAGCATGGGAAGGACCTACTCCCATGATTCAACTGTCTCCCACTGGGTCCCGCCCACAACACATGGGAATTATGGAAGCTACAACATAAGATTTGGGTGGGGACACAGAGCCAAACCGTATCAAAAGATCAGATAGATAGATAGATATGTATATATACACATATATATATGTGTGTATGTGTGTGTAAAAATATCACCAAATATTACGTGATGCTGGAGAGAGAATCAGCATGTCAAAATGTCAATTCATTCCGAAAGAAGAGTGGCTAAGGGGTCAATAGATTACTTCAACCATAAAGAATAGTGAGTTATAGAATCTGACATGTGACTGAAAAGTGGAGGAGAAAGAATGGTTGGATAGCAATAATGAGCAAGGAAACCACTTAACCCACACTTCAAACAGATGGAATGAGGGCTGTAGGATACAATATGGCTGCCCATTGAGACAGCAAGTAATCACTAGAAGAAACAATGATCTCTAGGAGGTCTCCCACTTTTATACATACACTAGCTCATAAGTGTCAACGGATTGCCTTGAAAAATAGGAGAAAAATACTGAATTTTCACACAAAATCCAGATAAATGATACATGGTTCATAAAGGATGCATGGCTCATAAATAATGCACTGGTTCATAGGTGATAAATGATAAATGATGTACTGGGTCACATGTGTCAAAGCACTGCCTTGGGAAAAAATAGGAGAAAAACTGTGGATTTTCCAATAAAATCCAAATAAATGATGCATTTTCCTTAGTGTTTAGCCACTCACATTATAAAAATAGTATATTTAACTCCTAGGATAACTTATCTAAAATTTCAACTAAATGTAATTTAATACTAAACTTCTCACTTAAGCTTAAAATGCCTTTGAAAGGCATTTTGTAAAACACATGGTAATCTAAAGATAATCTCATTAGAGAGCACTCTAATTCAAAATTCACAAGATATTTTCACCTTAAATTCTGAGCTAGTTCTTACCTTCACTGTGTACCTCCTTAGAAATTTCAGCTTTTGTTGTGGAATGAAGTGCTGAACATATAGATTTAAAATTATCCATGGGAAGTTTGTAAGCTTCAGGTTTGAGCTTCCTACATATAGTGTATAGCATGACAAAAATAGCCTTTGACTTGCCTCTTTAGTGTTTTATCACTAAAACAAATAAGACAAGGAATACTTTGAGGAAATTGTGCAACCCATCTTCAAACAATATGGCATAGTTTTATACTTCTTGGAAGTAGATAGACTTCCTGACATGAAATAATGGAATCTCTGTTTTAAAAAACAAAGGCAAAGGCATGAATTTCTGCCATTACCTTAATAATGACTACAAATCTCATAAGAGACTGCACATTTTGTACCATCACAATGTGGAATAATTCTTGAACCACTTTTTCCATATTTGGATATGTACATATTAATCATAATTAGTGGCATCATCTCATTAGGAAGGATAACATTAAAAGCAATAATCAAATGACTTATATGTGATGTATCTCATACACATAAAAGCAAACTTGGTTCCCGGGTTCAGGACTGCTTAGGCTGTCTGGCATATTATCACAATGTGAATCTGCCTACTGTCCCCTATATGTTTCTGTTATGACTGACTCTACTATTACCTTTCAATGTATTACTACATGATGTAAATTTGTCCTGACCCATCTACTAAAACTTCTGTGTGTTTTGTTACTATTAGCATTCTTAAAATAATTGACTTAGAAGAGAGTTGTTAAAAGTACATTCTAAATTGGTAAGCACTATCAATGAGTATTTATAAATATGTTTTTATATCCAGTTTATCATTGCAGGAGTCTTCATAATAGCAGTAACAAAGTATCCAACTCGAGCTGCAGTAAGTTGAAATGTTTGTGGTATCTCTAGAAATCATTTATCACAAAGCTAAATATTAAGTTTTAATGAAAATATAATGTCTAAATAATGAAGGAATCTATGCTACCTATAAAATAAATAAAGAAATTAAGAATGAATCTAGAAGAACATAATTTAATGTAGACAAATACACTGTATTGGTTAAATCATGATTATGTATAGATTTCTAAATGTATATATAGTTTTTATTTTGTTTGATGTTCTACCTTTTAACATTGTGTAAACTTTATAATTAAAAAATTTAATAGAACCTAATGCCTTTAGATATAGACATTATACTACTGTAAAACTTCATTTTCTGAACTATCCAATTTGGGAACAAGATTGTATCTTGTAATGAAGTAGGAAATTGGTCCAGATTAAAGATCCATGCATGGTATAGGTGGATAGATACTGGGAAGAACACTTTAGAATCTGAGAGCTAAACACACCTTAGAAATTAGTCTGCCCTCATAATTTTACAGATAAAAAACTGATGTCTGAAAATATTGATAGATTTCCATAGGTAATGAAGACCCAGGATTAAAATTTTATCAACTGACTCCTATTTCCACAAGCAGTCATTTTCCGTTTTCTTTTTTTTTCTTACAGTGGAACCACTTTTGTCCAAATCATCTCTTATATGCTTTCTTCCAAATGACTTATAACATTGAAAAATACAATACTTTTTAGCCTAAATGGAAGATTAATGATTAATGGACTGATGGTGTTAATGTTTCCTCCAGATTAACTGGGCTTTATATAAATTAGAAAAATGTTTTCTTAAGACTTAATACTTCTAAGACTTCAGAAACTACATCAAAGTTTTAACTAGATGACTTTTTTCAGCCATGCAAACTATTACACCAAAATGTTTATTCTGAATATAATAAATTTACCTTCTGTCTCCTTTTCAGATTATATGTACTTTAATCATAAACATCTTCTGCATAATAACTACAATTACTGCAGTAACTCTAACAATAATAGAGTTGTCTTATTTCAATTCTCCGTCATACAGGAATTATGGACAAGCAGTAAGTGACCAATTCTATGGGAACATATTAATTTTAAAATTATTCTTTTTAATAATTTTGAAATCTTAGGAGGTAAGATGAGGCTTTTATTGGTCCTCATGAAATTCTTTGATTTAGTAGTGAGTTCTTTTTTTTTTTTTTTTTTTTTGAGACGGAGTCTCGCGCTGTGTCACCCAGGCTGGAGTGCAGTGGCGCGATCTCGGCTCACTGCAAGCTCCGCCTCCCAGGTTCACGCCATTCTCCTGCCTCAGCCTCCGAGTAGCTGGGACTACAGGCGCCCGCCACCACGCCCGGCTAGTTTTTTGTATTTTTTTTTAGTAGAGACGGGGTTTCACCATGTTAGCCAGGATGGTCTCGATCTCCTGACCTCGTGATCCACCCGCCTCGGCCTCCCAAAGTGCTGGGATTACAGGCTTGAGCCACCGCGCCCGGCCAGTAGTGAGTTCTTGATTGAAATTTTTAAATCAAAAATAATTCTAGGCTGTGAGTTTTAGTAAATATTAAGAGAATGTTTGAATTCTTGATTTGCTGAATTAAAGTGAGTAAAAACTTGAAAACTTCAGTGGCAAGTGTCTATGTATCAGGCACAGAGTCACTTAATGATTCTCTTAATACAAGAAAAGTATAATCTGGGACCATAGAACCATTTTGCAAATAAACAAAAGAATTCTGCTACTGATACATACAGTTCAAATTGTAGACATCTAGCAATTTCTGGCTTAACATAGAGCTTTCATACATAGCCTATCTTTGCATCTTACATGAATTTTGCTTTAAGGCCAAAAATGCTAAATATAAATAAACGTAACTTGTTTCCATTTAGTTCTCCAGTAACTGTGAAGATCTTTACTGATAACACAATAGGTTTATTTTAATTATATTGGCTTTAAATTCAGAATCATAGAATATTAGTGCAGCAAAAGACCTTAGCAAAGCTAACAAAATCTCACATTTAAAATAAGGACAAATTGGAGTGAAACACCTTGTTTGACCAACAGAACAAAACAAATAACAATTTCAGTAATGAGTAGAAGCGTCCTTGCAAGTGAAGGATAAAATTCCTCCTCCTCCCCTACATACTTTCTCTCCATACCTGTGACATGTTATTAAGGGGGACGTCAGAGGAAAGAACCCAAACCTGGAGAACAAAACCCTGGAGGACAGTGAGATAATAAGAGAAAAATGCAGTAATTCTCCAAAATATATTATCTGTAATGAGTGATTATGTAAACAAACATGGACCAGATTTTCCCTATAAATTGTAAGAAAATTGTCCGGTTGCCCTGAACATTCAATCTACAAATCTTTAGTTCTAATTTTGAGGACAGAGAATAAGGAAGGAGTACTTAAGTTATTAAGTACATAATTGTTTCAAGTTATATGTCACCATTCTTATTCATAAACTTTTAATTATCAGTTTAATATGGCATAATTGCCAAGGATTGCCTTTTGCAGTCAGTGTGAGAAACCATTGTAGTCTGTATTTATCTGATCTGGACTCAGTAATAACGACCAGTTTTACAGTCTCTCAAAATCACAAGTTTTAGCACAAGTTTGCTGTGATTAGTTACACAAAATGAACTTGTATATTAGACTTATATCTCGAAACCACCATCTTTTTCTAGGGCCATTATAGAATTATGTACTTACCCTTGCTAAGGCAGCCAACATTTTACAGGACTTTTACATGCCAACTTTTCTAACATAAGCAAGGGTCTTGGCTAAATCTACAAACTCAGCAAGTTATCAGTGTTCCCAGGCAGCGTCAGAAAAGTGCATGAATCTGAAATACACTCCTCATGTAGCAAAATGGTTAATACTATAGATTCCAGAATCAGAGTTCACTTATTTAAATACTATCCTCAGTACTCACTGTGTGTAAACCCCTGGCAAAGTTTCTTAACTTACCTGTTTCTAAGTTTTCTTTTGTGTAAAATGAAGAAAATGCCTGCCAGTTAACTGCTGTGTTCTTTCTTCCAAACTCCTGGCCTGTTGTTTTAAAAGCTAGCTTGACTTTTCTACTTGGCTATGCTGCTATCACTATCATATCAAACTCAACAGATAGAAAATGGAAATTACTTACCTCCTCAAAGGTATACACTGCAAGACTCCCTCATTTCAATCTCCTACACACAAAACCTTGACATAATACCTCATCTGTCTTTCTACTGTCTTTATAATTACCAAATATTGCTTATTCTTCATTTAAGTATATATTAATTAGGGTTATCTTGGTTTTAAGTAACAGGAAATACAATCCAACTTGATTTAAGGCAAAAAGGGTCACTTACTGACTTAAGCTGGGTCCAGAAGCTTACAGTTTACATCATCTGCCAGGGACTCATGACTCATTCATTCTCTTTCTCTCTCTCTGTGTGTGTGTGTGTGTGTGTGTGTGTGTGTGTGTGTGTGTGTGTGTGTGTGTTTCCTAGGTTGTTTTCACATTTGAGCTGATCTGGCTGACCTTTTGCTGCTTTCAGTCAGGGAAGGAGTTTTAGAATAGAACTCTCATATAAATTAAGGAATATGGGCTGGGCGAGGTGGCTCACGCCTGTAATCCCAGCACTTTGGAAGGCCAAGGCAGGCGGATCACTTCAGATCAGATGTTTGAGACCAGCCTGGACAACAAGGCAAAACCCCGTTTCTACTAAAAATACAAAAGTTAGCTGGGCATGGCGGAGGGCGCCTGTAATCCCAGCTACTGAGGAGGCTGAGGCACGAGAATCGCTTGAACCCGGGAGGCAGAGGTTGCAGTGAGCTGAGATTGTGCCACTGCACTCCAGCCTGGATGATAGAGCAATACTCAGTCTCAAAAAAAATTAAATAAAAAAAATAAGGAATATGGGCAAAATGACTTTTCACAGTCTTGTCAGCTAAGAAGTCCCAAGTACTTTCTAGATAAAATGTTATGATTATGTTTGTGGATTTCTGCCAACAAAATTAAATCAAAATTATTTACCTTGGTATTTCAAACCTTCTACATCTTTTCCTTGTCTTCCTGTTTATACCATATATGAATGAACACTATAATTCTCAAAACATTATATTGCTTACATTCAGTTTTGTTCTCACATTAAAAATCATAGGTTGTTCTGATATATATTTTAACTTTACTATTGGTTCTATTTTATGTCTGAATTTTTTAATTATTCTGTCACATTTTTAATTTATGCTATTAAACTCTTTCTGAAACAAGATAGGTTACGAGGACACAAGCAAATAAAAATTTAAAGTTGCCTAGAATGCTGCTTCCTCTCTTTGTTTTTCTCAGTCCTACCTTTATTTCAAAGTTCCTACCACTTTATGAAGCCTTCCCAGAGAGTAATAGCTTGGAGTGAACCTCCTGTCCTTCCTGTCCCCTGTAATGAGTGAGCAAGTTTTTATGCATTTTATATGGTACCTTATATTATCTTTCTGTCTCTTCTACTTCATTATAAACTCTAAGAAATCAGGAAGTTTTTATGTGTCATTGCATTCCTATCATCTAATTCCTACTACCAGATAGTTTGTTGAATATAAAAGATGTTAAATAAACCCAACAAAGAAGGAGGAGGAAGAGTTAGAGAAGGAATTGAAGGGGAGATAATTATGATGTCATTCTTTCTAGATCTGAGTATCATTCTTGTCTTTCCACAGCCAGCACAAAACCCACATTTTCAGGATGAGCACCAATATTATTCACATAACTAACCAATCAGATTTGTGGTTGAAAATACCTTTCTGATAGCAACAGAAGGGAATCTGTTTATCCCAGATTGATCCCAGCAGTCACAATCACCTTATGCTTCCAAGTTAAATGTTCTTTGAACTCTTTTTGAATGTATTACTCATTTTAAATGATATTAGAGCAATATGTATGTGAGAGTTTTATCACCATGTATGTAAATTTACAAAGGGTTGTCATTAATAATAGCTGTTTTAATAGAAAAGGATTGCTTGATAAATCTGTTGGTGGCCATCTTATCATTAGAGACAGAAGAGTCAAATCTTAGTAACTGAAGAGTTTAGATAGAGAGCTGTGCCAGCGATTCTGTAAAAGCTGTCAGAGTGAGACAAGAATGCTAAGCAAAGGAGATCAAATACAGAAACCACAGATGCTGAACTGAGGAACCGAAAGCTAGGGAAAGTGTAGCAGAGGGCAAAGGAGTAGAAATGTCTAAGGAACTCAAATGGTGAAAGGTTTATCTGTTTTTATTTTCCTTCCTTTTTTTTGACTCTCATACCAGTAGCTCCTTCCATGATCATGTTTACACTCACTAAAGATAATAACATAAGATTTCTCCCTGTTTTTTGGTTATAGAAACTTGGGAGGGAAGTATCACGTATTTTACTGTTCTTCTACCCTTTGGAATTTTCTGTTGCACTTACATACTCAGTATGTAGCTGTTCCAATTTGGTAAGTGTTTACTCACTCTCTGGCAAATCAAAAGATGTTGATTTCTAGTAACTACACTCTATGAGGAGATGAATACAAATACAAATGAGGAGATGATGCAAAATATTTAGAACTAATATGAACGGAATGTGTGATATTGCCTTTATTTTTTATTAATATTATTTTATAAATAGAAAACATAAAATTATAAAAGTAATACATGAGGCTAAATTTAAAAGTAAAAAGCGTATAGAGTAAAAAGTGATTGTTTCCTTAATATAGTTCTCATGATATCCACACATCCAATTCTATACAAAAAAAAGACCAATACACACACATTTTCTTTTTTACTAATTGTATGTATTATATTCACATTGTTTTGTCATATGCATTTTTTGCAATGATTAGAAATATCTTTCCATTACAAAACATATCCAAATAATGCCTTTTATTACCTTCATTGTTTTTCTTAGTATCCAACACTCCCTAATTACTGTATACGTAGCTTGGTTTCTAGTTTTTTCTAAATTATAAACAATGATGCAGTGAACACTTGAGTATAAATATTTTTGCATACAAGACCACTATTTCTTTAGGTGGTTGATTCCTAGAAATGTAATTGCAGAATCAAGTGTAACAACATCCAAAAATGCTATAACAACTCACAAAAGTTTATGAGAATGATTATTTTCTCACAAGCTTAAAAGACTACATATCTAACATTCATTCATTCTTTCTCAAATATTTATGGAGAGCATGCTATTTGCTAAGCATTGTCATAGGCACTAAGGATGCAATGATCAACAAAACAGTGTCCTTTCCATTAGGGAGTCTGCATTCCATTAGGGGAGAAAGGCAATAAACAAACACATAAAAATATAAAATGTCAAGAAATGAAAAATGTTATGAAGTAAAATAAAGCAAAGTAAGGAGATAAGGCAAGACTATTTTACGTAGGATGGTCAAGGAAAACTACTGTGATCAACAACTGATTGAAATATAGAAACAACTATAAGACTATATGGTAAAAGGATTTCTGAAGAGAGAGAATGAGTTGCATTTCCAGAATGGCTGATTGGGAACATGGTAACTCTCCCTAAAAATGAAATTATAAAACTGAACAAAATTATCAATAAACAACCTTCTAAAGATTCAGGAAGTTGACCAAGCATACAAGAACTTGCAAAGTGTTTAAGAAAATCTACTCGACCTCAGTAAGAACAGTGGATGTCTGTGGCATGTTAGCTTGGGACTGTTCCCACTCTTCCCACCTGATATGGTTAGGCTTTGTGTCCCCACCCAAATCTCATCTTGAATTGCAATCCCCAGGTGTTGAGGGAGGAACCTGGTGGGAGGAAATTAGATCATGGAGGCAGTTTTCCCCATGCTATTCTCATGATAGTGAGTGAGTTCTCATGAGATCTGATAGTTTTATGAGTGTTTAGCTAGTTCCTCATTCACTCACTCTTCTTTCTCCTGCTGCCATGTGAAAAAGGTCCTTGCCTTCCCTTTGCCTTATGCCATGATTGTAGGTTTCCTGAGGCCTCCCCAGCCAATTAAACTTCTTTCCTTTATAAATTACTCAGTCTTGACAAGTTTGTTATAACAGTGTGAAAACAGACTAATATACCACCCCACCCTCAGATTCCATTACGCAGAAGTTTACCTTGGTGAGTCAGACTGTGAGACCCAGCAGCCTCACTGCTTGAGATGACTAGTTTTATTTGGAACAGAGCTCAGAAAGTTCCATGACCAAGAGGGTTATTAAAACAACCATAATCCCAGTGGCAAACAAGCAGGTAAGGCCAATGTCATTCCTAGCCTGACCATGATCACAATACTTGTTGGGGCAAAAAATTTACTAGCAACCTACCAGAAACTCAACAGAGAAATCTGAAGAACAGGACAGCCACAGTGAACCTTGATAACTTCCTACTTTTCCCCTGCAGTCTGGAAGAATATAAATATGTACAAAGCTATACACATACTAAGGAGACTGGAAAAGGTCGTAGTGAGCCCTTGGTTGAACAAGAGGCCTTGCAAAAATAAAGTAAAAGCTGGGGCAGCCTCAACTTTGAATATACTGCTCAAGCTACACTGATTCATTAGGAAAGGGTAGAAGTTTTACTGGCTCAAGGTGTCTAATAGTTTCCTAGAGCTTCTGTAACAAAGCACCACAAACTGTGGCTTAAACAACAAATTTATTTTCTTACAATTCTAGAGGCTAGAAGTTCAACATCAAGGTGTTGGCAGGGTTAGTTTCTTCTGAGGCCTCTCTCCTTGGCTTTCACTTGGCTGTCTTCTTCCTGTGTCTTCACATGGTCTTTTCTCTTTATGTGTCTGTGTCCTAGGCTCTTCTAAGCATACCAGTCATATTGCATTAGGGCTTATTCTAATTACCTTATTATAACTTCATTGCCACTTAAAAGACCCTATCTCCAAATACAGTCATATTCCAAGGTATTGGGAGTTAGGACTTCCAGTATTCCAAGATACTAGTGGTTAGCAATAGCCACCGCTCCTGGGAAATGAGGCAATCAGAATCTAAAATTGCTATGATACATTATCTAAAATGTCCAGTTTTCAACAACAAAAATATGCAAATAATAGGAAATAGTTAACCATAGAGTTCAAAACAACACTTAACAGACATAGTGTTTTGGAGCAAGGGAAGGATAAATGTTGGACTTAACAAAGAAGGGCTTCAAAAATTAGTAAATATGTTTGAAGAATTATAAGATGGCAACAATGATTCATCAAATAAAAGTCAATAAAAGAGACAGAAATTATAAAAAACCCAATGGAGTTTCTAGAGTTTAAAAATACAAGAACTGAAATGAAAAACCCAAAACCCACTAGAGGAACTCAAGAGCAGAGGTGAGCTGACAAAAGACAAAATAAACAGACATAAAGGTAGCAAAAAAGATATTGCCCAGTCCAAAGAACAGGAAAAAAAAGAAAATGAAGAAAACTGAACAGAACCTCAAAATCCTCTGAGATACCATCACATGTATAATGGGAGTCCCATAAAAATGGGGAGTACCAGAAACAAATTAAAGAAATAATGGCCCCAAATTCCCCTCATTTCATGGAAAATATTCAATACATCCAAAAAGCTCAAGGATCTTCAAGTAAAACAAAGAGATCCACTCCTAGACACCTCCATGTCAAACTGATAAAAAGGAAAATCTTGAAAGCAGCGGAAAAAAAAAAAAAAAAAAAAAAAAAGACTCTTCATATACAAGGGAACCACAATAATATTAAGAGCTGGGTTCTCATCCAAAACAATGGATGGGATATTAAAGTACATGGGGAAAAACAGGCAGGAATTCTTTATCCTTTAAAACTATCCCTCAAAAATGAAGGTGAAATAGAGACATACACAGATGAATAATGTGTTGCTAGCAGAAATTCCTCATGAGAAACACTAAAGGAAGTTCTTTAGACTGAAAAGAAGTGACATCAGATGAAACTCAAATGCACATGAATAAATAAAAAAGTACCAGTAAAAGTAATTATGTAGGTGGTTCTGAAATAACAAAAGATGTATAAATACATCTTTTGTGCTTTCTTCTGTTTACTGATTTAAAAGACAGTTGCATTAATCTCATTGGGCTCACCCAGGTAATCCAGGATGATTACCTTAATTTAAGGTCGTGTTATTAGTAACATTAATTCCATCTGTCATAACTACTCAGCTCCACTTTTTAGCATGAAAGTATTCATAGACAATACATAAAGGAATGGATATGGCTTGTTCCAGCAAAACTTTATTTACAAAAACGGGCAGTGGGCTAGATTTGGTCCATGTATCATAGCTTGCCAACCCTTCTTCAATAGATAGTTTCTCCATTTTTATCTTAAATTTTAAAAGATAAGATCATAAAAGCAGTAATTATAACACCATATTGGTAGTTATATAATATATATAGATAGAATATATGACAATAATAGCTCAAAGAAAAGGAAAGGGAATGAGTTATATGGGAATAAAGTTGCTGTATTTTACTGGAATTGAATTAGCATTCATCTGAAGTAGTCTGTGATAAATTAGGGTGCTTATTTAGTGATTAAGAAAGCTAAAAATATAACAGCTTAAAAATAAGGGAATTAACATAGGCAAAGTATGTTTAATTTTTAAAAAATAAAGAACACAATGGCCAGGCTTGGTTGGTTAACAGCCATATTCCCAGCATTTTGGGAGGCCAACTCAGGAGGACCATTTGAGCCTAGGAGTTTAAGACTAACCTGGGCAACACGACGAGACCTCGTCTCTACAAAAAAATAAAAATAAAAACATTAGCCAGGCATGGTGCTACATGCCTGTGGTCCCAGCTACTTGAACGGCTGAGGTGGAAGGATCATTTGAACCCAGGAGGTCAAAGCTTCCATGAGCCATATTCATGTCACTGTACCCCAGCCTGGGTGACAGAGCAAAATCCTATCTCACCAAAAAAAAAAAAAAAAAAGGAAAATAAAACACATGAGACACATATAAAACAAATAACAAAATGTCAGATATAAATCTATTCATTGTAATAACAACATTAAAATGACAATGAGATGTTTTAAAATACCTACTGGAATGACTGAATTTCAAAATATTGATGATGCCAACAGATAGCAAAGATTATGGATAAAAGAAATATCTCTCACACTCCTGGTTGAAATATAAGTTATTGCAACAATTTTTAAAATCTTTTGGGCATTACCTACTAAAAATTAAACTGTGCATACCCTATGATCAGTAATCTCAGTCTTTGGTATATAACCAACAGAAACGTTTGCCCTTATGCATTCAGATAAACTTCCAGGAATATAGAGAGAGCAGTATCATTCATAGTGGCCCTAAAGTGGAAACAACACAGGTGGGTGAGTGGTGAATAAGTTGAGGTGTATTACTTTATTGAAATTTGACATGCTGGTTAAAACGAACTATACCTGCACTTAACAACATGGATAGATCTCACAAATAAAATATTGAGTATAAAAACTCAAAAGAATGCATAGTTTTAAAAACTCCATTCATATGAACTTTGAAACCAGGTAAAACTAAAGCTAACTTATAGTGTTTAGGGATGCAAGCTTAGTTGATGAAACTAGAAAAAAAAATTGACAGGATTGATGACTTTATCTAAAAGTCAAAATGACCACTACCTTGAAGGAAAGGAATAGGAAATAGGTGAGAAATGTCATGAGAGGATAGGGTGCTGGCATCTATTAAGATTTATGTTCAAGAAGACTATGGTTATTTTTATTATAAAAGTTTGAAGGTATACCAAAAGATACAAGTGATCCAACAGAAATTAAGAAAGTAGGTTGACGGCTGGGCATGGTGGCTCACACCTGTAATCCTAACACTTTGGGAGGCTGAGGCAGGAGGATCACTTGAGGCCAGGAGTTCAAGACCAGCTTGGTCAACATGGTGAAACCCCATCTCTACTAAAAACAGAAAAAAATTAGGCAGGGTGGCACAGGCCTGTAATTGTAACTACTCGGGTGGCTGCGGCATGAGAATTGCTTGAGTCTGAGCCTGAGAGAGAGGCGGTTGCAATGAGCAGAGATCGCATCACTGCACTCCAGCCTGGGTGACAGAGCGAGACCTTGGGGAAAAAAACAAAAACAAAAACAAAAAAACAAGGAGAGAGAGAGAGAGAGAGAGAGAGAGAAAGAGAGAGGGAGGGAAAGAAAGGAAGAAAGAAGAAGGTTGAGATAGGAATGGGACAGAAATACGATACTTTAAGATTTTTCTCTATAAATATCAGTATTGCCTGTCTTTTTAAAGAAAAAGACCTATTTATTAGTTGTGTAATTTTAAGAAACATGATATGATTTGTAAGAGGTTGCTTTTTTTTCCAGTTTCGAAGACAAAGTGATCTTACATCTGTTGCTGAGGAAGCTGAGAACACTTTTTAACAACCCTAGAAATGTGAGAATTTTGCTGTTGCTGATGCCTGATGTGGGTCCTAATGATATCCCTGTATAACAAAGCAGTTACAAAGCCTACAGACTTTGTGCAAAATAAAATACAAGCGAGGTGAATTTTTCTCCTCAGTATTCAAAAATGTCTCTGCTCATATTTTTCTAGGCTGCAAGGGGAAAGCTTTTCCCTATTTAAATATGAGATTATTACAGAATGAAATTGTTATCTAGGTACTCTGAATAGCTGTCAACTCTCCATAATAGAGCTTTTGTAAGAGACTGTCAAAAAGATTCATTATTATCTCTAGAGTGAAGGCTATAAAGACTTGGGCCACGATGCCATATAATTCACAGGGTAACTTTAAATACTTATGTCCATACAAGTAGAAAGCACATTTTACAGTCTGAGTTCTTCTACTTTAACTAGCTTCTACTTTAACAAAGTATGAATCAAAAGGCCTCTAATTCATATTTCCTTCATTGTTCTTTGACTTGTCTTCTCCTTATTTAAAGTTCCTTTCTGCCCTGAACATATCTGCTATCTTTCTTATCTTTCTTTCCCCTTGGTTCTTTCTTCTTATCATTGTTTGGATCATCTGTTCAACTGCTTTTCGAAGCAGACAGGCTGTTTTTCCACAATACAGAGAATTTTCTAGAAATCTGTTCTGAATTCAGTTCACCCTCTCTTCTAATATGGAACATTACTTCAGAAAGATGTTTCACTGATTGCTATCTAACACTGTAAACTGAGGTTACTTGATTCTAAGAATTTCAGTGCTTAGCTCATTCTTTTTCAGATTGTCTACTGTATGCCAATGAATAATATATTAAGCTCTTGAGTATCAGCAATTAATAAGGTACCTGATGACAAGGAGACTTTATTTTAGGGGAGGAAACAAACAGCTACCAAATTAAGACTATGTATGACATATAAATTAACAGAGTATAAAAAAGTAGAAATAAGACAGAAGAAATAATCCTTCAGATGTGAAATAAGAGGAATAAAGCTTTATGAAAGACCCCTGAGCAGGGGATTAGTAGTTTACCAAGCAGAAAGGTAGGAAGACATTTTGAATAGAAGATTTTAGCTTATTAGAAATGTGGGAGAGATCACAGCTAAAATAAATATATTAAAATCTAATGACAGGGAGGAGGAAGTCAAGAGTGAAAGCTGGAGAAATTGGGGGAGGTCAGATAATAAAGAAGTCAAATCACCAAAAAGTTAATACTAAAGTATTGAACTAAATTTTGCAGACAGTGGGGGGCCATTGGAAAGTATTTCAATAGGAAAATTACAGGCTTGGATTTACATTGAAAAAAAGTATGAAATATGGGAAAATGCGATAGAAAGTATAAATTTGATTAAAGCAACTGGATTGTGGGAGGGAAAAATGAAGTATTATTGTAGTGATTCAGAGAAGCAATGAAACGTGGTAACTTTTAGCCTTACTGGCTGATTAAACATGAGGTGTGAAGAAATCTAAAATAATCCCCTAGTTTCTGGATTAGATAAAACCTACAGTGATATAAATCATATAAGACATAACAGAATTGGATAAAATGACAAATTCTATTAGGATAAGTTGAGTTTGAGGTAACTATACAACATCAAAGTACAGATATCAATTAAGTAGTTGAAAATACAAATCTGGAAACAGAGGAAAGATCAGTTATAAACTGAATGATTTTGATGGTACTTAAAAATATTGAGGGTTGATGTTACCATGATGGCAGACTCGAAAATAACCTACTCATATCTCCCAGAACAATAACAATTCTGCACCCATTCCAAGTCAAAAGTCTCTCTGCAGGAGCCTCAGGATTCAGGTAGGAGTTTGTCAAATCCCAGTAGAGCCCAAGATCCAGGTGAGTCATTTTTAGAGTGCAGACCAACACCCAAGTGGCTGATTTGCCGAGATTGCTTGTAGATTCAAGCCCAGTAATATCCTAGCCCTTGAAGGGGTTTGTTTAAAGCCTCATTTGGCTTTGAGCCTACAACCAAAACCATCTACCAAGGGTTCCAGAAGGAATCATGCACGCCAGTGCCGTGGTGGAAAGGCTTGTCTGCCTGCTGACATCAATCTTGGCAGTGACCCTGAAAGGTGCACTGTGGCTCTGCTTCAGCCTTCCTTAGCTGAGGTCCCAGCTCAGAGCTACTCACACAAGAACCCCAAAGTGAGACTCACTCATCTCTTGTAACCCAGAATTCTGAGCCTCCATGATGGGTTTGCCAACTTCTGTCCCACAGCAGATCCCAAGGGGGTCCACTCTCAGCTCCAGTGCCTCTCACTGCAGTGAGAAACTATCCCATCTGTGCTGAGAATCTGCTGGGAAATGAGTACTTGTCTGAGCCAACAAGATGAGTATTCCATCCTACATCACAAAGGAGACCCCAAGGGAGCCCAGTCTCAGTTCCAGTCCCTTCTGCTGCAGTCAAGGAACCATCCCATTTTTGCAAGGTCCTCCTGGGAGTCATGTGCCCTCTGAGCCAACAAGACTGAGCTCTATAACCTTTATCCCACCACAGATCCTGAGGGGCCCCAATCTCAGCTCTGGCCCCTCTCACTGCAGTTGAGGAACTATCCTATCTGTGCAGGAACTTGCTGGGTGGCATGCACCCCTCTACACTGAAATTTACCTCCTCATCCTCTGTCTCACTGAAAATCCCAAGGGGGCCCAATTTCAGCTCAAAACCCTCCTGGTACAGTCAGGTAGCTATACCAGCACCCCACCCTGTGTTTCACAGCAGATCTTGAGGGGGGCCAATCTCAGCTCTGGCCCTTCCTGCAGCAGTCAAGAAACTAGCCCACTTGTGCAGGAATCTGCTGGATGATGCATGCTTATCTGAACTGACATGGGCCCACTAGCCTCCTTCTCACAGCAGTTCCCAAAAGGGCCCAGTCTCAACTCTAGCTACTCTTGCTGCACTTGGGGACACAGGCTACCTGTACAGAGACTTGCTAGGCGGTACGCCTATCTGGGTCACTGGGTCAGTCATTCAGCATTTTCACACAATCCCAGTACCCTTCTTGAGTCTTTCCCAGGTCCATCTGGATCAGAAAGCTATGTCAACCTTGAAGTCTTCAAGAGGTTCACAGTAAGCCTGGGCTTAGGGTGTCTTATAATGCTGAGATAGCTGCAGTGGTCACAGGCTCTGGTAAAACAACAGTAAGTCAGCTTAGAATTCCTGGAAATCCCTCTAAAGGACAGGCACAAACAAAGCCAGTCTGTGAAGAATGAAATAAATACCTAATCCCTGAATGCACGGATATTGTCACACTTCCACAAGCATCAAGAATATGCAGGGAAATATGACCTCAACAAATGGAGAAAATAAGGCACCAGAGACCAACCCTAAAATGATGGAGATGTGTTCTCTCAGACAAAGAATTCAAAAAAGCTGCTGTAGGGAAGCCCAATGAACTTTAAGTAAACACAGAAAATCCATTTAGAAATTTATCATAGAAATTTTAAGAGAGATTGAAATAATTCAAACAGAAATCCTGAAGGTATAAAATACAATGAATGAAATGAAAAATTCGGAGGCGGAGCAAGATGGCCGAATAGGAGCAGCTCCAGTCTCCAACTCCCAGCGCGAGCGACACAGAAGACCGGTGATTTCTGCATTTTCAACTGAGGTACTGGGTTCATCTCACTGGGGAGTGCCGGACGATCAGAGCTGGTCAGCTGCTGCAGCCCGACCAGCGAGAGCTGAAGCAGGGCGAGGCATTGCCTCACCTGGGAAGCGCAAGGGGGAAGGGAGTCCCTTTTCCTAGCCAGGGGAACTGAGACACACAACACCTGGAAAATCGGGTAACTCCCACCCCAATACTGCGCTTTAGGAAACAGGCACACCAGGAGATCATATCCCACACCTGGCCGGGAGGGTCCCACACCCACGGAGCCTCCCTCGTTGCTAGCGCAGCAGTCTGTGATCTACCAGTAAGGCAGCAGCGAGGCTGGGGGAGGGGCGCCCGCCATTGCTGAGGCTTAAGTAGGTAAACAAAGCTGCTGGGAAGCTCGAACTGGGTGGAGCTCACAGCAGCTCAAGGAAACCTGCCTGTCTCTGTAGACTCCACCTCTGGGGACAGGGCACAGTAAACTAAGACACACAGACACCTCTGCACAGACGCAAACGACTCTGTCTGACAGCTTTGAAGAGAGCAGTGGATCTCCCAACACGGAGGTTGAGATCTGAGAAGGGACAGACTCCCTGCTCAAGCGGGTCCCTGACCCCTGAGTAGCCGAACTGGGAGACATCCCCCACTAGGGGCAGTCTGACACCCCACACCTCACAGGGTGGAGTACACCCCTGAGAGGAAGCTTCCAAAGCAAGAATCAGACAGGTACACTCGCTGTTCAGAAATATTCTATCTTCTGCAGCCTCTGCTGCTGATACCCAGGCAAACAGGGTCTGGAGTGGACCTCAAGCAATCTCCAACAGACCTACAGCTGAGGGTCCTGACTGTTAGAAGGAAAACTATCAAACAGGAAGGACACCTACACCAAAACCCCATCAGTACATCACCATCATCAAAGACCAGAGGCAGATAAAACCACAAAGATGGGGAAAAAGCAGGGCAGAAAAGCTGGAAATTCCAAAAATAAGAGCGCATCTCCCCCAGCAAAGGAGCGCAGCTCATCGCCAGCAACGGATCAAAGCTGGACGGAGAATGACTTTGATGAGATGAGAGAAGAAGGCTTCAGTCCATCAAATTTCTCAGAGCTAAAGGAGGAATTACGTACCCAGCGCAAAGAAACTAAAAATCTTGAAAAAAAAGTGGAAGAATTGATGGCTAGAGTAATTAATGCAGAGAAGGTCCTAAACGAAATGAAAGAGATGAAAACCATGACACGAGAAATACGTGACAAATGCACAAGCTTCAGTAACCGACTCGATCAACTGGAAGAAAGAGTATCAGCGATTGAGGATCAAATGAATGAAATGAAGCGAGAAGAGAAACCAAAAGAAAAAAGAAGAAAAAGAAATGAACAAAGCCTGCAAGAAGTATGGGATTATGTAAAAAGACCAAATCTACGTCTGATTGGGGTGCCTGAAAGTGAGGGGGAAAATGGAACCAAGTTGGAAAACACTCTTCAGGATATCATCCAGGAGAACTTCCCCAACCTAGTAGGGCAGGCC